TTTTTTAATTAAAAAAAAAGGACATAGAAAACATCAGTCTTGAACTTCTCTTCAAGAACCCGGGCTGCAAAGGAAATCTCCTTTGTTTTTGTTATTTATATGCTGTCAAGTTTTGAAGTGGTGAGTTTCAGGTCGGTTTTGCTAATTTCACTCAGTAAAACTGCAGTGTTTCTGTTTCTAGATAGTACTTTGCTTCTTTGTCTCTTTAAAAGGTCACAGTGAAAGCTTGGCCTGGATCGTGCCGGCCATATGGAATGGATAAGGGCACAATCTTAAAATGTGATTATGGGGTTGTGTGGGGGCGAAAGAGGCGATCCAGCTAGAAACTCATTGAAAAGGATCTCACATTGCAAAAGAATCGGTTCTTAAAAAACTAGAACTTCGTGCTTTTCTTTCTTTTTAAATGAAGTAGCTGCTGTTACTGAGTTCCCTGTTTTATTCCGTAATTATCATATGGTGTTAGTTTATGGGCAGAGAAATGGGATTTTCAGAAAGTAGCTTGCTTTCTGTGTGGCAACCAGACATTACACTAAAATGGGTTTTAACATGTGTAACTCAAAAGAAACTCTTCAGCCTGGCATCTGTTGAGACCATAGTTAGTTCTTACTGCTGTCAGTCCAGGCAGGCCTCTTGGAGGTTGCTCTTTTCTATTCCAAACTGAGGTTTGGTGAACTTTACCCAGGGCCTGGAGTTGAAATGAGTAAATTGGGTGTTTTATGCACATGTAATTTTGGTTTATAATGTAAAGCTTTTTACAGCATGACCTAGTGTTTAATAGATGCTTATAGGTGGGTATTCAAAGGACAGTTCTGCATGACCTATATGATACTTTGATTGTCAATACATTAACTAAATTATATCACTTTCATTTGCTGTACAGTTTATAGTGTTGTTAAGCCTCATGATTACTTAATACGTTTTGTAGCATTAACTTTGATGCTGTTGTCTACACCTCCCCCCCTTTTTCCCTCTTAAATTGCCCCAAGGGCTAAGGATTTTTTCTTTTCAAATAATATGTTTTAAAATTCATCTTCTGCTCTAGGATAAGGCAACCAATTTCAGAAAAAGCAGCTCTGTATTATCCACATGAAACATTATAAAGAGTGTTTTGAATAAGTTAATAATCATTGCTTTCTAATTTTGGCTTTAGACTGCAGTTTAACATAATGGAAAAGAGTAATCTTGATAAAAAGTGGTTTAAAAAGGCACATTTATTGTTAATGAACCTCATAACCAAAAACAGATGGGACCTCGATCAACGGTAAACCTTTAGTTCTCAGTGTGCCACTCTGGAGTACAAAGATAAATAGCCATTAATGTTTCTCAAACTTTATAGTTCTTCAATTGGCATTCTTAAGGTTGCTTTTAAACCTCTAGATTAACATTGCTGTTCCCCTTTTCTTGATTATATGGTAAGAAGTAGGCTATGGTTAAACAGAAGAAAAAAAATGTTTACAGAAAAGCCATGCTAATACAAACAGGCTTTCCACAAATCCAGATTTAAATAGCTTCAGTATAAGAATTTAAAACAAAAACAAGCTATGTCAAATTAAAATGGTAATTATTCTCTCTGGTTTTCCTAAATATGAAACCCTTAGTTTTATGAGGTCAATACTTCAAATACCATGAAAGTTCATAAAATAATTCTACTTACCTGTTCTTATCAATCCTAGGTAAAACTATACTTTAAAAATGATTTTGATATTGTCTAATCACTTTACTATAAATGATGTGAAAATTGATGTCTAATACATAACTGAAAATAATTATCAGTTAATGTTTTGAAGTTAATTTCGATGTTAACGCCATTCCATGCTGAGGTTATTTCTGAATACTGGATATTTTGTTTTACCAGTATCATCAAGGTTTTTTTTTTTTCCTTCAGCTTGGCACTTCAGCCTAATGTGTATATCATGAAGTATATTCAATTTTTAAAAAAATATTTATTTTTAACAACCCTCTATTACTAATGGACACCTAAATATTAACTCTAAAACACATGAGTTTAATGCATCAGTACATTGGATATTTGAAAACCTTTCACTTCTTTCTGTTTGCTTAGGGGATGAACTGATCCAATCATGTGTTTGACCCAAAACTTGATTAGGTCTTTAACAAGTCACACAACTCTTGAAACTTTGGTAGTAGAAAACTTTTTCTAGGCATTAACTTATGCCACTGGGGAGTTTAAAAAGCAGCTGGATGTTTGTTGCTTTCTTTAGAGATAGTTTATGTGTTTTTTTAAAATAAGAATTAAAACATGTAAAAATATAAACATATACATTAGATTTCTAATATTTTGAACTGTGATAATCTTTCCATCCTTTATTAAAGTGTTTCTGCTATCTTTTTGTAATGAGTTTCTAGTTGTTAAAAATTTGGACTACATAAATACAATTTGCTGTTTTCTTTTTAGCTATACTTCTGATAATTCTAAAAGTAAGCCCATTTTTCGTCACTTGGTTTTTTTTTTTTATAGGTCAATTACCTTTTTATTCATGTGTATTGGTACAGTTTCCACAGATCATTCTGTTAATTTGAATAAGAATGTAGGGCTATTATCTAGAAACATAGTAACATCTGTATTATATCTAGAAAGGCCATTTTACAAATACATTATATTAGCAGAGAGAGATATCTAGAGCTAAAACATTTACATAGGACACATATATACATACAGGTCCCCAACCAATTGTAACATGTCTTCTTTTTAAATTCTGGCAGGTGATCTTTAGACAGTGACTGAGTATGGATCATTTGAACGAGGCAACTCAGGGGAAAGAACATTCAGAAATGTCTAACAATGTGAGTGATCCGAAGGGTCCACCAGCCAAGATTGCCCGCCTGGAGCAGAACGGGAGCCCACTAGGAAGAGGAAGGCTTGGGAGTACAGGTGCAAAAATGCAGGGAGTGCCTTTAAAACACTCGGGCCATCTGATGAAAACCAACCTTAGGAAAGGTAAATACTTTCAAGCCAAATCCTGGAAAGCTGAAAGCCCTGGTGTCTACACAAGGCCACATTGTGTGGGGGTGGAGTGGCAGAACATGTTTTGTATACTCTGCCTTTATTCTCTTTCTGATCTTAAATTAGTTACCTTCTGGGACCTTAGTATCAATCATGTTAGAAAGTATAGGCTTCATGCTTGGGTGGAGCATTTTACTGTGGACTGGAATCATTGGACATTTCAGATTCTAAGGACTGAATTAAATATAATGGTCTTAGTTTACGCAGGGGTCCATTCAAAAGGTGTTACAGTGGAGGACCGTAGGCGGCTGTTGCTTTAAACTAACCTGATTAACAATAAAACACTGAGGTGGTTTGAGAGCTATCCTAGCTTCTTTCTAAGATTTTTGGCTGTAAGGCAGTTTCAGAGATCTTAAAAGTCTTACACAGAAGTTTTGTCATGTTATTTTTCGTGGGCTTATTTTCTTAAGAGAAAATTCATTAGTATTGAAAAATCTGATGATTCTAGTTTTTAGTTTTTGTTTTAATTGGATATGCTTGTTGAAGAAAGATTTAGGCAAGTTTATAAAGGGAAGATGTGTAACTGTGTGACTCCTTTCTACCAATATTAAATTGATGCAGTTTAACAACTTTGACTGTGTTTAACAGTGTTATTCCTGTAAAGCAGTGCCTATCCCTGGTGTAATGCCTGTGCCTCGTAAGGAGCTTCATTCTGTGTCTGAATAACATGTATAGGAATCAGATTTTCCTTACATTTGCTAAGCAATGGATTAAAAATGCTATATTTTAGCCACCAAGAATATTAAGTAGATAAAGTTAGAAGGCAGAGGAATTTCATTGTGCTTGATGCATAACATTTATCATACAATCATTTATTTTTTCCTTGGTTTGGCGAAAACAAAGAATATATTGATCCTGAAATGAACAGACACAGCAGTCCGTATTGTTAGATCTTTATCTATTAAAAATGGAAAAACAGCACTTCAGCAAATTCTTTGGCCTCTACTCATGATTACCCTATTTATTGATTGTTTGCCAAGAATGTATGCATCTTAAGAAAGCCAGGGTAAGAGCATTAAAAATATAATTTATTACGGCTTTTCAAACAGAGTGCATTAATATTGTACTGTGAAGCACTGGGGCTCTATAAAAAAGACTTTCTGACGCCTGCAAACATGTAAGTTCCATAAATTCCTAAATAGGAGATTTCAGCTGTCTCTGGTATTATGTGATATTTGCACAGCAAACTTTAATGCCAGGACAGTTTTAGACAAGGATTCTACAGACTTCACTGCTCCTTATGGCAGACGTGCTGTTTACACAGGCTCATAAACCTTCAGCAAAAGCTTCTAAGACTGCCTTCAGGTTTAAATCATGTGGTATTTTTAGCATTCAGCAGTGACCAGTGCTCTCCCTTTTAAATGCTGGAAGGTTATGAAGTTGCTGTGGTTGGAACTCTCGCCAAACACTAGCACAAATAATCAGACAGTTCAGAGAAGGCTTATGTTCAGCGTTACTCCCAGGAACAGGAGGGTAACCGCAACAGTTTGCTAGAAGATCTGTAATTAGATGATACTCTTGTTACTTTATAGCCATCTTTATTGTTTTAGGGTACCTCTAAACATGATCGATAAAATCCAAAATAAATCCAATATATTTCAATAGTTTGAAAACCCTGCAGTTCATAGGTCTAAGGAAGAGTATATTGTAGAATACATCTGTTTAATCCTACAAAAGGAAGAATCAATATGCATGTTTTTGTTGTACTTACTCAACTCTTTGAAGATATCAGGACAGAAGGAGGAAGACCTAAAAGTACAGTAAATTCACTTCCTGCTCAAATGCTTTTTTGTTTTGTTTTTTGAATGTATTCTAAAAATGCAGGTTAATTGTAGAAGGGTCTCAGATACTTCAGATAACAAAATTGCTAAAGCCTTTTCATGGGTTTTTAATTAATATTTCCATCTTATTTTTCTTGTGCGTGGTTTCTGTCTGACAGGTGCTAGATGAAAATTATGGCTGAGATGAGAAAGCACTACTAAGAAAAAGGGATTGAATGTTTTTGTTTGTTTAGGCGATTTTGTCAAAATACCTTCAAGGAAGAAATCACCAGTTTGCATATTGCTGTTTTTGCTGTGATCTCCCCAAGTTGTCTTCTGATCCCTGATGGGTTCTCTCGCTGGTATAAAACAGCTGAATGAATGACAAAAATATTGGCAAGCTCTGCAGCTTGTTTTTCATGCCTATCCTATTGGTACCTCTGAATGAGTTTGTGAGTTTTTCTAAGTAAACCTAAAGGGGTTTATTTGTCAGAGCTAGAATCTCTTGTGAACAGTTCACTAAAGCTTTGGTGAAGACTCACATGTAGAAAGATGTAGCTGTTTTATTGCCGGCTTTTGTTCAACAGAAACAAGCAAATAGAGAATCTTTAAAGAGCCTCTCTGGTGTCAGTAGGAAATCCTGATTTTTAGCTACGGTTGCTGTGTACTACACATCTTCGGAAGTTGGTAGGATTCTGTGAGTCCAGAGGACAGAGCTTATATAGGCATTAGTATTGTAGGACTAATTGTGGATCCTGGGTGCCCTGTTAAAGTAACCCTTGTCATCATTTATGCTAAAGATGATACCCTTCTGGCAGTTTGCCACAGTACAATTCAGATGCATCTGCTTTTAACCCTTTTCCGTTATCATTGGAAGTCTGACAGTGAGCTGCATAAACACCTTGAGTACTACAGCATTCCGTAATATCAATTTCTAGAAGAAGCCTCTTTCTAATAGTGCTGTGGCTTGTGCTTATTAATCATCTGGCTACTGAGTTACTATTGGATTAAAATATATGAAGAGAGAGCACACCAAATCTATGCAGATTCCTTTATCCTAATATGTCCTGATAAGGTCAGTTTCCTTTTCTCTCTCTCATTTTTATCTTATTTGCTATAACAAAGATTGTTGATTTTAAAGACTTGCGGATACTCTGTTATCTTTTTAGTTAGGTAGGTTAAATAAGTATTCATAAAAGCAAATGGTATTTATATGCGTTATGCACATATTGAAATTGTATATTATGAGCACCAGTTTGGTTAAGTACTTTGTGTGGAACCAGTTAGAGTTAATATCTAAAAAAGGAAGAAAATGAAAATTTCACGGTCGAAGATAATTTGTTTGGACACAAACAGGAAAAGTTTATTATTAACAAAATCATGTAGGCAGTAGGAATGTAGGACCTTCCGAAGATAACTAGTGACTTATGTTTGCTGCTGTATACTCATAGCAAACTCGAGAAGACACATTTATTTCTCTTTCTTCACCATTATTATTTGATCAGAAAGGTAATTCTGCATTCATTGGTTTTGGAAAATGCGCTGTTAATTTAAAGCCCAACTTAGGACCAAGTTCACATTCTACTTAAATATTTCTCTTACAACTTTAAATAATACAGGAATGTATATATTTGTGTGCATGTGCCTGTAGTTCTGTACCCAGTCTGCCTTGGAAGCACAGTGAATCTCTTGTGATTATTTTCGTGGCTAATTTTTCCTCCCTCAGGCTGTATTTCTGAAGACTGTTGGTTTTCCATCTCTTTTTCTTCGTCTTTTTGATAGGAACCATGCTACCGGTTTTCTGTGTGGTGGAACATTATGAAAATGCCATTGAATATGATTGCAAGGAGGAGCATGCAGAATTTGTGTTGGTGAGAAAGGATATGCTTTTCAACCAGCTGATAGAAATGGCACTGCTGTCTCTAGGTTATTCACATAGCTCTGCTGCCCAGGCCAAAGGTAAATAATGTGTACGTGGGGTTGGAAAAATTGCTTGGCATCCTTTGTTTACCTTGCAGAGAAAGCACTGAATATTTTTATTCAAAGAACTGTAGCCTGTGTATTACATTGGTTCCTTATAGGCTGTGGCTTTAAAAAATTGGCTTAATTCAGTTTGGTTTAGTTAACACACATTTTGCTCATGTGGAATGTCGAGGTAGATTTTTTTTTTAAATTACTTCAGCTGAATCATTAGTATGCTTATTGACCTTAATAATCTGCTCCACTGAGGACCCACAAGGAAGTGAGGAGCGTATTTGAGCAGATGGACTGTTGAGAGTCAATTTGCATTTATGACTGAATATCTAGTTCTGTTTCTTTTATTCTGTTTCTGATGGTTTTATGGGCTGTAAAGTATTTTTCAATGCTGATTCCCACTGCAATAGAGAATCTTATCTAAATCGTAAAGCCATTTAGAACTGGTTCAGCTATGTCTTATTAGAACTTCCTGTAAGTTAGGAAAATGTGGCCTTATGCATAGGTTTTATTGATGGGGTTTTATTTCCAAAATAATAAACAACCCTATAGTCATTTACATAATTTTACAATTTGGAAAGCTAAGCTGTGAATATTTTCATTGACCTGCCTTTTAGAGGGAAGGGAATCATTCAAACAGAAATAACAGTATTGCTTGTGGTAGGGGTAGCAGAAAAAAAAAAAGGATGACCCTTCTACTAGATTTGGTATCTGAGGGTAAAATATTTAGTGACATATTCTTTTTATCTGAAATAGGGCTAATCCAGGTTGGAAAATGGAATCCAGTTCCACTGTCTTATGTGACAGATGCCCCTGATGCTACAGTAGCAGATATGCTTCAAGATGTGTATCATGTGGTCACATTGAAAATTCAGTTACACAGGTGAGTCAAGACAGCAAATCTAGGGTGAAACGTTCTTCTTACCTGGTCTTTTTGAAATGAAGCATCTCTCTCTGGTCAACCTTCAATTTTTTTTTTTTTTTTTTTTTTTTACTCTGTGTTTCAGAAAGGTTAATACAGATTGATTTTGTTACCCTATCCTTCTGCCTTTTTTCCTAACGTCAGTGTATAATTTAAAAGTACCTCCCCCCCGCACACACACACACAAAATTTGTAGGTTTGTGCAGGTTATCAAAAGACAAGACTTTTTACGTTTAGTCAATTAAATAATGCATTACAAGAAAGCATTTTACATAAAGTTTACTTAAGAAAAAAATATTTTTGCATATCATGAACAGTGCCATCTGTGTACATTTTGTGAAAGACTGTCTTATTCACTGTTACCACAATCTTATTTGTTTATTTATTTTTTTACGATTTTAATTCGTATGAACAGAGTAATGAAAGGAAATCGGTTAATACGTTAAAGCTTTTCACGATGGCTCATGAGAAAGCAGTACACCTTAAATTGTCTTCCCAAGCGCATCAGAGCAGGAAGGTAGAAGTAACATGAAAAAATAGCCACCACAGGCAGCTGATGTATAATTCATGCATCGATACAGCAGATGTGTTGTATAAAGTAATTAACTAATCGGAACAATCAGGAGACCGAGAGCAATCTCCAGATGCATCTGTTTGATGCGCAAAATGAAATCTGTCTGTCTTAAAGGAATGTTCTGCAGCAGGATGCAATCTTGTAATAATCCCCTTTCTAATCTATGTCTCAAATAGTTGCCCCAAACTAGAAGACTTGCCTCCCGAACAATGGTCGCACACCACAGTGAGGAATGCTCTGAAGGACTTACTGAAAGATATGAATCAGAGTTCGTTGGCCAAGGAGTGCCCCCTTTCACAGGTACTTAGCATAGCATGTAATAAATAATAAGACATCATGGGCAACCCTGATTTGAGGTTTGATGAAGCTCCCTAGCTTAAAGCAACTGGTATCTGAAGCAAGAATCTGCCAAAAATGCAAAGTGACTTGACCACTGGTGACCTTTTAAAATATGCCTGATTCGTTCCGAACAGAGCCTATAGGCTTTTTCTCCCTTGGGGAAAAGAGCCAAAGGACTGTTTACAGGAAAAACAGTGCAGAAGACTCCGCTGGCTAGTTTTTAGATTTGTCTTCTTTCTGAGTGCTGTGAGTATGATGGCTACATTCTCCTGAATGCCCTTATTTAAGAAAGAGTCGAGGTGGTACTGCTCCCACAAAGCTTCTCTGAGTGGGAATGGCAGTGTCAGTGCTATCTGCAAAAAGTAACTGTGCGGTTCTTGGATACTTTACTCATTACCAAAAAATCAAAAGTGTTTCAGTAAAAATAATGATGAAAATAATTACCCATAACTAAAAGTTGAATAGTTGTTAATTCATTCAGATTTTGTGACCAATTCTTTGGCTTTGGTTTACTTCTTTTCTGTTTTTTAAGTGGAATCTTCTTTTTCCCCTCTTAGTTGCGTGTCATATCAGGGATTTTTGAAATGAAATAAATATTTTTTAATTATTTTCCTTGATTTCTTTAGAATAAATTTGGTGGACGGCAGCTAAAACTCTAGGTAGAGACTGCTGACCTGCCTATAAATAGAAAATCAAACATCATTTTTGATGAAACTCAGCTGATTTCAAATACAAAAGAAAAAGGATGCCGTGAATCTGCTGTTAAGGGCTGCTTGTGGGGTCACCACGTAAATATGTTATAGTCATCCCTCAGTATCCAAATCCATTTTAAGGCCATTCCATGATACAGTGTGATTGGAATCTTGGTCCACCTAGATTTTTACCAAATATTTAATGTTTTCTTTTAATTTGAGTTTTAATTCTGAATATTAGTCTCAGTTATTTGAACTTGAACTGTATGACTGCTGTATACATTTCTGCAATTGGGAGATCTCAAAATGTATTTCTGCTATATTCTGAGTAGTAGATACTCTCAAAATGTATTTCTAATGTGGGGCTCATGATGATGATTGAGTACCTTTGGCAGGAAACTTATGGGCTTTGCGCTTCTGTTTCATAAAAACTCCATGCATTTCAGATTGGCTAACTTACAGTCTAACATTTTTACTTTGATGTTTCTTAGAAATTTTAGAAATAAAGCAAATGAATTAAGTTTATAATGAATAGCTTTCTATATTCTTCTACGGTAAGCTATAGCCAAAGGTTACATATTCTCTGTATTGCTAAGTGTCCATTTCTTGCAATTCAGAGTACACTTTTTTTTTTTTTTTTTTTTTTTTTTTTTTTGTCATTTCAGCTAATCTCCTATCTTCCCTCTCTCTCCCTTGGAATAGAGAGGACATGAATTTATAACCATCAAATAAAAGTTATTAAATTAATTAAACACAGTTAAATCAATAGGATTATATAATAAAAGCAGGGTGACTCTTCAGTGGCTTCATTTCGCAGACAACTCCAGATAACATGTTACATGGTTGCTAACACTTGAAAATTTGAAATGATCTGGAAATAAACTTTCAAAAAACTCAGTTAAAACATGATATAAATACCCCGTACAGAAATCACATGTGTCTTTATGTTACTAGATGTCCCACTGATCTTGGAAGCATATTCAAAGACTTAAGGCATTTACTCTGAGCTGAAGAAGAAGATGTTAGTACAAATATTTATTGATACAGTTAGTGAGAACTAATTGTTAAATGATATAACATTCAGCCAGTAAACTCCACCTCACTATAACTTACAAATAGAATTTTGAATTTAACTTAGTGTTATCATGGAAAATGAATTGAATACAGACAATTATAACATTAAGTAGAATGACAAAATGTAATTCAGGACTTGGTTTTGGAGTCATACATTGGTGAATTTCTATAGAGAGAGGTTTTCAGATACATGGCCTCCTGTGGCTGGATACCTCACTGTAATCATTAAGTGATGGAACTAGGCTGCAATTTCAACATCAGTTATAATTACAGTATTCTTTTCCTTAAAAAAATCTTCTAAAAATTCAGCGTAGTTTAGCAGTGAAAGCAAATATTTGAAATTAATTTAATATTTAACAGTATGAAAAAATGTAAATTGTTCTCTAAATGAGGGAGTTATTTTATATTTTGCTGAATCATCTTCTGTTTTTCTATGAATCTGATACTCTAGTCAGAATGTTTTCAATAAACTATTTTGTTTGCTTCTTGATTATGTTTTTCTGTCTAGAGTTATTAAGATGAGAAATGCAAGTTCCCTAAAGCCTATGTCCAAAATACGTGTTGAGTTTGACAAAACTACTCTTTTTCCTATGGTGAAGATTTGGTGATAAAGATGTTGCGGTGAAAAATGCCTAGCAAATAAGTATGACCTCAGTCTTGTACAAAATGGGACCTAACACCAAGAAATGCCAAGTGTTAAGGCCTTTCTTCCCCTATGGAGTATTGATTCATTCATGCAAGAGAACCTTTAGCATGCGATTCAGCATGCACATTTTACCATAGAGTAAGGGTTTTATTTTGTTGAATGTGATAAAGTGTTCGAGTAGCAAATATGGTTACAGGGTCCCTCAATATTAAACTTAGTATAAAGTTCACCCTCCTAGCCCCTGCTCTATTAGAGGAATTTGTACAAATTCCTGTAATAGAGCAGGGGCTAGGAGGAGTGGAACTGGGAAGCCACCAGGATTTTGCCTGGGGTGTTGGATAAGTCCTGCCTCCTATGCTCCTAGGATGGTAGTCTAATACTTGCTAAGCAAATGTCCATTTGGACTTGGGTTCTTAGAACCAGAAGGGATTATCCTTCCTAGGCTCTTCCCCTTTGACAGTTGAAGGAGCCAGTGTCCCTGGAGATTCAAGTCATGGTGCTAGTTAATGACTGACACAAAAGTCCTGACTTGCTAAGCTTATGTCCTTGGCTGATGATAAATTTTAAAAGTGTTGATTTAGCTACTCAGGAGGCTGAGGCAGGAGAATTACTTGAACCTGGGAGGCAGAGGTTGCAGTGAGCTGAGATTGTCCTACTTCACTCCAGCCTGGTGACAGAGTGAGACGCCGTCTCAAAAACAAAAACAAAAAACCTTACATTTGGGTACAATAATGTTTTCTTTGATAATATTTGTAAGGTTTTCTCTAGCTGCAGAAATTCCATAAGTGGGCTTGGCTTGATTTACAACTCATACCTTTATTTCTGTTATCACTTTCCTATCATAAATTTGCCCAAATAGATTAACACTCATTTATTAAGTTCTTTGTACCACATGTGTTTTTAAATTTTTGTCAAATGTTCTAAGACATAAGAAATGCTTAGCTCATTATAGGTCTGAGGATGGATGTTTTGTTGTCACTTTGATTTTTTCAGTGGATATGGTTAGATAAATTGGATGTTACATTCTGAACTGCAGCTAAGGAGGGGAGAATAAACTCTGATTTGGGGACAACAAAGCCTGTAATCATAAAACTTTGAGGATATGGATTTGGGAGGAAAATTGGGAATTTAAAAAGTGAACAATTTGATTTATAATAAAACATTACCTTTTGATGCTTATTTTCCCTGGAGTTTTAGAAATTGCATTTAAACACTAGATAAATATATAGACATTCTGATACAGGGGTAAATTCATTTTGTTAAGTAAAAGGTCAGCTATTAACTTCTACCAGCCTAATGTCTTCCTTCTAAAAATGTTTAGGTCAAATATTTTGTGGGGGTTTTAATCTGATTTGCTCATTTTTACCTCTCCTCTGTCACCACACACGGGCGGGCATACACACACAGACACACACACACACACACACACACACACACCCGCCCCTTTCACGTTTTTAAGGCATTGGATTATTTTCTATCTTATTTCTCACCTGGAAAAGATATCTTTAAGCCAAGTCATATAAAGTGGGTGAGAACTGTCATTTTTATTTTCAAGTAGTAAAATATATACAAAATAAATTTAAATTTTAACATTCCATTTAGAAATAATATTGAGAAAGATGATTTTCCAATTTTCCTTTTTTTCACAGCATCCAAGGATCTCAAATATGTTGGACAATTTATTTATTAATGGCAAAATAGATTTTAAAAAGAAACTACCCTGTGCTTCTGAAGCTTAGCTTCAGTACTGCCCTCCTGAAACGTGACAATCATTTCCGTAGGAATTGAATACACTTACATGTTCAGTTGATTTTCAGTCTGTATTATAAATGATACTGGAACAACAATTAGAAAATCTATCATGTTATAGAAAAGTGTTTTAAATAAACTACTTTGTTTCACAGTTTCTGAACAGCAATTACATACATGTTTCTTAAAAGAAATCACATTCTTAAGAGAATAGCCAGCATCAGTATTCATATGTTGCATTTCACGTGAGAGTCTAACATATGAAATTTGTTTACATGCTCATATATTCAAAGGTATGTATCAACAGTCCGCTGTATGCCAGGCATTCTATTTCCTATGTAGTAATAAGGATATGACATCTTAATAGTTGAAATAATAGTATTACACTTTCATTTAGTGCTTTTGATGTATCAAAGGTGCCTTTGGTCCCGCTAGGTAGGATATAGTCTTATATTCCCATTTTTAAATGAGGAGCCTGAAGCGCAGAATGTTGACATGAATGTCTGTGGCTACCTCACTGGTGAAGCCAGAAGGGTAAGACCTCATACCCAGAGTCCATGAGCTTCACCAGATACCCTTTTTCATCACATACCAGAAACAAAGGAATTGTTAAAAAGACAAAATGAAAGCCTCTCAGATGAATTTGGTAGGTTTTATAATATGCTTTGATTTCTCTAAAGTAATGATAACTACTTGTAGTTTTCCAAGTACATTTATTCTTATAACTGAAAATTTTCTTTAATGTGTTTTGGTTTTTTGTCTTTGATTTTTTGTTTATATATTGTCTTGTTTTAAAAGTA